CCCACGCGATCTGGACTGCAGTCTAGCTTAGAAGACAAGAGCGACGTGCTTGCAAGGGAAATAAACGGTAGGTTGGAGAATCAAATTAGATTTTTGTGGTGAACAAACTTCTTGAAGGGTTTAGTGTCATGGTTAGGCACTTGTGAAAAGACGCCTCACTAATAAATAACACCGCCTACCACTTTAATCTTGTTAAATCAGTGGTTTTATTACGAATTTAGGAGCGAATCATTCTAGTGGGGTTCTTTTTGGTAAGCAAAAGTAGTAATAGTCAATGATAACTTCTCTGAAAAACAATCAGCAAGGACTCCAGTACTTACATATCTCTAACCCCTTCCTAAAAAATGCAAAATTCTCTCTGATTCTGGCTTAAAGAATGGAAAGATGAAGGTTTTCATTATTTTCGGAGTATTTTGCCTAGATACTTCAATGAAAGTAATTATCAGACCGAATCCCGTGGCTTTCAGCGGAAGTAGGGAATTGTATGTACAAACGACAAGTCGACCGTCGCATGCGACGATGTCAGCCTCGAGCCCAACGGAATGGGTGAAGCATCGGTGGCCTACGCGTGAATTAGCTCATAGTGAAAGTGGACTCACACAGCACCTATCGCACTCTCTCCTCCCTCACCAACCACATTGATTCTATAGTTAGACAATGTTAAGACGACCGGAGGGCTAGGTTGCAGTTGGTAGCCAGCAATGGGGAAGCGGACGGCGACCTTAACCTTAATCCTGACCTTAACCCTAAACTCAACCTTAAACGTTCACCCTACCGGCAACCCTAACCCTAACCGAAATCGTAAACCTAACCGTAACCCCTTGGCATAGCCGTAACTGGAAAACTTAACCGTAATACTGAAACCTTATCGTATGCTCAAACCCTAACCGTAACCCGAAAACCTAAAACCTAGTCCGGAAATCGGAAACCATTAACCGGTACCCTAACCTTAACCTCAGACGTAAAACGGAGGCCAAATGGGTCAGATGTGATTGTGGAACCCCACAAAATAGCCCCAGTAACCAACCCCCCCCCCCCGCCACCTGTAATACGGGGCCTGGCCACCAACTGCGATCTAGCCGACCGGTGATTGTCGGGGATGCATTTGTTGATAGAATTAAGCGACCTGCATGCAGCCTGGCTTTCAATGAATATGCCAGGGCACGGTGATGTCAGTTCGGATCTCACGTGGGTGAGAGTGACATTAACGTTATATTAAAAAAAAGTTTTTTACGACCCGAATTTCGTCCCTAAGAAGGAGTGAGTTTCCCCGTCGGTATGTGGCATTGAAAGCCGCGATCGATAGCGCAGTTGCATTTGCCGCAGTACGGCTGACTTTGGTGAGCCGGCTTGTAATTTCATTATTGATTTTGATGTTTCTTGAAATAGTTCTCCACTGGTTTGAGATTTTTACCCACAGGCACGAACTTGACGTCGGTCTCAGATTATTGCAGTCATCCTCTGGCTCTGGTTAATGTCTGGCACATCTATTCTTCGTGTCAACTGCTAGTCCGAAACTGAAGCAGCCGGAGGCTAAGCGGTCCAGGCTCCGCCACACGCCCTACACAGTTGTCGAGCTTGGCTTGCAATCACCCATGAAAATGATCGTGAACACTGGCCTTCTAAATTCGCATAAATGTCTGCATGCGGCGGATGCTGAGTGATCGTCCATCCGGTCAGTAATATACGTCGATTTTTGGTCGATTCTAACAGTAGGTGTCCACCAGCATGAGAGAGAGAGAGAGAGAGAACAGGAGACTGAATAGACAGAGTGCGAGTATTCAGGCGTGTTTCACCCCACTGAACACCGCAAAGGCTCCAAAATCTGATCCAGAAACAGCGGTATACAGCATCGTCACGTCGTGTTTCCACTTCTATGAACCGCCCCTGGCGTCTGAACCTCAGAATGACTGACCTATCCTCAAAAGCGATACACTCTGTCGAAAGCCATAGTCGAAGAAATGAATGTGGTTTTGAGACTCGTTCGCATTTATTGATATCTTTTTGCATTTGGAGGGCCGCAAATATGATGCCCGTGGTTCACGATACTTCCAGACTCCGCGTTTTGTCTCTGCAAGATGCCTCTGCTCCAGGCGATGGGGTGTGACTCACTCGCAGACGTTGCCTGCAGCGTTGAAGAGGGTGGTGTCTCTACAAATTTATCGCAGAGTTGCGGGTTCCCCGTTCGTATGAAAATAGGAATTACTGACGCATCCTTGAAATCCTAGTGAATTTGTACGTGTGTTCACATCTCCAGCAACAAAGAAGCAGGGCCGCCCATGAGTTTGCGAGGCTGCCATTGTAAATTTTGGATGTAGTTTCATCAGCTTCCCGGGCACTTCCGTCCGACAGTTGTTTCGCTGCCTTATTTGTCCCTTACAGGTTAAGACGAGAGGTAAAGGTGTCCACTTTCGGAGGTCTGTTGTCAGCATCTCCGTAGATGATGAGGGGGTAATTAAAGGCGTCCTGACAGTGCCTAGTCCAGGACTCCATGATCTGCTAATTCTCCAACAGTAGGGCTGCTTCACCTTGACCGAGCAGTAGCGAAGTCCGTCGCGAAGAAATTATTTTTCTCACTGCGGTAGGTGTACCCTTGGAGTTCCTGTGCTTTGCGAGGCAATCAATCGTTTTGCACCTCCCTCAGCCCCCAGTGCATTAGGCCTCCGCATTGCGAAGTGTGTTGCTTTGGTCGCTGACGTAGAGCGTCGGACGGCAGATGTCATCTGGCTTGCTTTCAACCCAATCTCAGTGCTGATGGCGTGAGCGACCGAGGGCTTCCAGAACGGCGGCCGGTATGGTATCCGACATCCTCCCCCACCCCCTTGTGGTTTCAGCGTTAGCATTTTCTTCCGGAATTAGAATGTGTTCCAGTTTGAGAGTCATGAGATTACTCAAATTCACATTTGGCCGTTCAGCCGCATGATGTCGGCCGACCTTTTGGTCACCTGCTGATTGCCATTCAGGTCTTGCATGAGAAACGACAAGACGTTAGTCCGTCCAGCAGCCTGTACCACATATCGTCTTGATCACTAGAAGGTAACGTTCTTCATGGTTCCAAACGAGAACGTAGCTCACCAGCTGCCAGCGACGCGAGCCAGGGCGAGTTCATGCCATCTTTTCTCGGGTCGGGATACAGAAGACGGTGTTGGTTGGGAGAAGGCTGTTTCCAGTGCAAGTCCGCATGAGATAAAGGCCAGTGCTGTTGCATCTGCCGATCCCCTGGCGACCTGACACTCCTTCTCGGGTAGCCTGTAGCGTGCCGACGCAGACATCGAGGCCACCAAGGACAATCATTGCATGTGCCTTGGGCATAGCCACAAGAAAAGCACACAGGTCTTCGTAGAACTTGTCGCAAATGCCACAAGAACGGAGCATTGCAGGCGTAGGCACTGACGGTGGTGATCAGCATGCCACGTAAAATGGCAGCCTCATGATCTTAAGCTGATTGTTTACTCCTCAGAACAGGCACGACAGCCACCTCATGACATCGTATATTGACGATGAAGACGACCCCGGCGCTTCGTTGCTGTCTTTTGGCGGTCACCCCCCAGAAGATGCATCCGTCACCCTCCTCCTCCTTCTCCTCCTCCTCCTCCTCCTCCTCCTCCTCCTCCTCCTCCTCCTCCTACTCTTCCACTTGTTCCAATTTGGTTCCACCTTGTAGCGAGTCAGCCCCGAGCGGTCAGATCTGTCCTCCTTTCCGATCGGATTCCCATTAGATTACCTAGGGGAAAACGAATACCCGGCGGAGAGAGAGAGGGGGAGAGAGAGAGGGGGAGAGAGAGAGAACGAGAGAGAGAGAGAGAGAGAGAGAGAGAGAGAGAGAGCAATGTTACTCTCGCAGCCTATGCGGAGGCCCGGGAATGAGGAGGAGGTTACTGTTGTAGTTTTTTGGTCACATATTACTATCCATAAGTCACTGTCAAATGTTCGGCGGTGTATTTTACCGTCGGTCAAAAGGTCTGAAAGCGTGTGCTACGCCAGTATCAGCAAACCATGGCCCTCGCAGCCTGTTACGCTCCGGCAGTTCCCTGACACCTGGTTCCCTGCCGGTAGATGCGCTTGCACTCCCACTGAATGTACAGGTGGTGGCCATGGCTGTCCAATCATCATCCTCGTCCTTCTGACCCCTGTTGGGGTGTTGTTGTTGTTGGTGAAAAATCCTGGTCAAGTGTATGTTGTGGACCCGCACGCCTAGGTGCGATTCCGGCCGTGCCAGCCACCTGCGTCCTCCCAGCCTCCGGTCTTCTTGACTCTGTCTTGGCACCGGGTCCAGGTGGGGAGTGGGGAAGAGAGTGCGGTAGATGCCTCGGAAGTCTACTATCACTATAAACTAAGTCACGCGCAAATCAAAGCGCCTGCTGCACCTTGCTTTGTAACAGACGGTGGACATCATCGGAATCGACGGTCGAACCATAAGTTTAGTGGGACACCTATTCAGTTCCCCTTCCCTACGAGTGGTAAGCAGTACATCCAATAGCTGGGGCTATTTGGTAATTCCAGACGACTGTTGAACTTCACTGTGGGTCATGACCTCGTTACAGTGTGAGGACGATCATAATCTACCTCTATTGGCAATGTACCTGGGTAACCTACGGGATTGTATGTCGCCCTCTCCGTAGGGCTTTTTGTCTGGGGGTGGGGGGAGGGGGGAGATGGGCTGGTGCTGGAATTAGTTCACAGACTGTCCGGTATGAAAGCACACACACACTTCGGACGACCTCATTTGGCTTAGTCTATCATCCAAGGACGCTTGACAGATAACGGCCACTGGACTGAACATGGATTGATATTACCGACAAAGACAAGGGAGACTGGAATAGCCATTTCTGGCTTATTAGCCGTCGTCAGCCAGTCATAACCAACCCCAAAGTGTCGAACACCTGAGGCTTTAACTCGCCACCTGTTAGTTAGAAGTCCACACCTCTAACCACTGAGCCACGAGCCCGTCGCCCTGTCGGTTTCGATCGGGAATATACGATGGTGATAGGCGGCGCTCACCGATCGTTCTTGCGAAACTCACTCGTCCCGTTGTGCCCTACGGGCTCTCTCTAGCGCCCAACCAGCAGCCGCACAGCGGTGCATGATATAGGCAGTATGCTATTACCGACAAAGTCAAGGGAGACTGGAATGACCATTTCTGGCTATATTGCCTATATCATGCACCGTTGTGCGGCTGCTGGTTGGGCTCGAGGGAGAGCCCGTAAGGCAAAGTGGAACGAGTGAGTTCCGTAAGAACGATCGGTGAGCGCCCCCTACGTGGTTTCATGTAATCACTGATGAGAACTGGATGCGGGGTCGAGCGAAGTGGAGGTACCCGCCAGCTTCATAAGTGCGCTTGGCAGAGGTTGTCGGTATATTGCTTGCAAGTATTTGCTGCGATCCCATGGTCGTGCCTACTCTAACCGGCCTAGGTAGGGTTCAGTATCACCTCTTTCTGGCATTCACCGGTAGGGAATCTGTGACAGGGTACATTCAACGGGATATTGCCGTGCGGCGGCCATCTAACCGGACGGAGCGACCCGGAGTGACCGTACAAATGCAAAGCGAGTCTCGTCCCACTACGGCCCGCAGGCCCCACATACACGAAGAAGACACTTCAGCCGTCACAAGTGAAGATGTCCCCCGTTGCCGGACAGAGGCGGGCCCAGCATTGGTGACTCGTTACGCAAACATTCACCGCACC